GTTCGCCCCGCTGAGTGTGGAATCTGCTTGGTTTTCTCCCCCTCCCTAAGCTCCCTTAACTCCCCGCCGCCATTCCCGTCTGCTCTTTCCCTTGCCCTAAATAAATAAATACATACATACAATCTTAAAAAAAATTAAACAGCCTATTCTATGGTCTTGATGATAAATTTCTCTTTCCATGTCACTTCATGCTCAGTAGACAGTCCTTCTAGGTTTCCACTTCTCTCACTGCCATCCCTACCTCCTGACAACCCAATTCAATGACTTGGCTGATCTCTACAGAAATGCCAAACGCTGCCTCCAGGCTGCCACGATCACCATGGCAAGAAGGCTCAGGGTGAGCACACTGAGGACCAATTAGTGGCCTCCCAGGTCTGGGGTCTTCCTTCTCAGAGTACGGGGGGTGGGGGGATGGCGCTCACAGTGAGTAGCATGGATAATATGAAGACAATAGTCAAATAGAAGTCGAATAGATTCGAGTTCCACCCATAACTCTCTTATTCCTAGCTGTGCAATCCTGGGCACATTACTTACGGGAAGCTCTGTTTCCGTATCTGTAAAGTGGGCATGATGCCAGCTACCTAACAGTAGGATGGAATTGAACATGGAGTGAGAACTTCGTGAAAGACAGTAGTCGCTGGTGTATGCCAGGCATTCAGTCAATAGTAGCCATAATGTAATGATTCAGCAGTGCTCCACACGAAGGGCAAGACATGAGGCTTTTTGCAGCTCGAGGAGACCCATCCCTTCCCCACACTCCCCTCCAGCATCCCTGAGTGCCCCCACCCTGGCTGGGATGCTCTCCCATAGGACAGGTATTTCATGGATCCAGGGGGAAGTGTGAGAGACAGTCTCAGCCATAGGGTTGTCGGGTGGGGTAGACCCCTTAGCTGCCAAGGAGAAAGTTCTGCTTCTGAAACTGAACCAAGAGTAAATTATTGTTTTTTTTTCCTCCCAAAACTTGAGGATTTGTTTTCTAAAAGCACTGTTTGCAAAACCCTTGTTCAGCAGAGCCTCGACCACGTCATTAGACCCAACGCCCTGCTAAGTTACTCCCAGACAACCAAGGATTCTTAACGACGGAGCAGAGCCACATCACAGGCTCTCATTATTACAGTATCCTTCCATAATCTATTCCTGTCTACCACATTTCCCTTATCGAAATGAAGAATTCTATAATACTCACAGGGATGAACAACAAGCCTGGTCCCTCTTCCAAATGTAAGTCTGTAGCTTCCTCCTGCTACACACAGTGAGGAAAGCCTTTGATAAAACCTGTCTTATGTGACCACCATCGACCCAGTGGTGTTGGGGCAACCATCCAGGGAAAAACCACTGGTGGACGCTCTGGGAGTTGCAGGAAAGCCGTAGAGTCAGGGGTGGGGGTGTCGGGAGCTGGGGGTGAGGGCTGAAGAGTGCTTCACCCTCCTTTACCCAGAACACTCGCACTCCTGTCAGCAGAGCAATGGGGAGCAACCTCCCAAAACCGCCACACCCTGCCTGCTTCGCCAGGTCACTAAGGGTCTGACCCCATTACTCTTCTGTCAGATACAAGGGGCTTCAGAAAGGCGGTGAGGCTGGAGGCCTCAGGAGGCTTGATGCTTTATCGTGCTGAAGCCTGTCTACCTTCTTTTCCTGAAATGCTGCTGTCCTGTCTTCCCCTTTCCTTAGCTCTTTAGAACTACCCATTCCTAAGTGTCTTCCTGTGTGAGGCCCAGGGGTTGGTCCCTGCATTTCTCTGGTTCCAGGACAGATTCCAAGCGGGATCCAGGCACTTCCCAGTGACTGGTGCTAGGCCAAAGCATCCAAAGCCCTTTGATTTTTTTTTTTTTTAAAGTAAGCTCTATGCTCAACGTGGGACTTGAACTCATGATTCTCAGATCCAGAGTTGCATGCTCTACTGACTGAGCCAGCCAGGTGCCCCTGATTCCTGTATTTCTAAAGACCTTGATTCAGACAGGGACTGGCTTTTATGAAAACATAGGACAGAGAAAAAAAAAAATCACAAGAGTTTCCATATAATTTTGAAAGAAGGGAATACCAGAGACCATGCTCCCTACTTCAGAGATTTGGAAACTAAGCTCTCGAAGGCATGGCCTGGGCCGAGGTCCTGAACCAAGGCGGGAGCTCAGCCGTCAGCTCCTGGCTGGCGTGTGTTGCTGGCCTTCAGCTTACCACACTCTGGGCTCGAGGGCCATGTTAGCAAAGAGCTGTGCGGCTCTGCTGAGCTCAGGGCTGGGATTGAGGGGCTGGGGCCTTGCCCCTGCCCTGCACTGCTTGTACCATGTGGCCCAGGACAGATGCTTGGACACTGGGCCTCTAGATTCCCCTACAACAAGGGCAAGATGTTCTCAAGGACCCTTCCACCTCTCATGGACTGTGGGTCTTTGTTCAGTTGGAAACCCAGCCTCAGGGAAGAGCAGGGCAGACTTTCACAGAGCATGGGAGCGTGGTCGGTAGAGATGCCGAGACAAGCAGAGGGCAAAAGAAACAAGGGGCAGGCAAAGGTTTGGGACAGTGACTGCCTAAGAACCTTAGTTGTGGCACTGATGAATGACATTGTATCTCTCCCCCTCCCCGCCATGGACGGAAGAAGTTGTCCAGCACTGGGGGTAGGCACAGCAGTTGCAGTGGTTGGGGGTGTCTAGAAGGGGGTCATTCGTAGAGGATGGCCCCAGCTTACTTACTTGGTATAACCATCACTTGGGTCCCCTTCCCAAAAGTGAGTCTGTTGTCCCCATAGCTACACTCTGGGTAAGTGCATTACAAAAAGGTCCTGGGGTTGTGCATGGTCTCATGGAGGACACACGGCCTTCTCTGGAGCTCTACAAGCTGGGGACCTGGAAAGGCTGATCTGCACATTTTCCCTATAATGCCAGCTCTGAGCCTGCCTAACGGGGTTTGGCAGCACCCCCCACCTACCCCTTTTCCTAAACACGGCTATCAACAAACAGCCTCTAGCTATTTCTTCTCTGGGAAAAACAGCCTTCACTAAAGTTTGTGAAAAACCTGCCTCCTACGGAGGCCAGTGGGTGTGTTTCTAAAGATACCAAGGCCGGGGCTAGGGGCTGGGGGGAGCATTTTCTCACCTCAGCGGCCATGCCTGAGAAGAAGGTACCAGTTTTTTGGGGGACATGCACGAATGTATTGCCAGAAAGAGTAGGAGCAAGAGCATTTCCAGTATGCCGCGCTGGGGCACATGCTAAAACCATGCCTCTGCAGGACGCAGTCACCTCTTCTTCTCTGGCGCTGAGCCAGAGTCCTGGTGACTCATGCCGGACTCACAGCTGTTTCTCTCCTCAGAGCCCTCAAGGATTCTGCCAAGATGGCTTTTTGTCCTCAAGAAAGGCAAACATTTCAGCAGATAACAGACATAAATTCTTTTCTAGAAACACACAGGTAGAATCATGCTTGGTCTCTGCCAGAGCATGTGGATTGACCCTTGTCACCACTGTCCTGTCCCCAGCCAGCGGGGTCCCTGCCAGGCCCCTGGGCATGTGCGTGACCACATACAGTAGCCATCTTGTCACACTCACATCTGCATTGTTATTGGACTTTTAATATGTAAGTGGTGTTTCCCTGATGGGACTGGAAGTTCCTGAGAGCAGGGGCTTATGCTTCTTCTTTTGTTTCTTTCTTTGTTTTAAAACCAACTATGGTCCCTGGCTTATTGATGATACCCAGTAATCACTGAATGAGTTGAACTGATTTTTACTGGGCACAATTATTGGGACAAGGAGGCCAGTTTTGGGAGAGGCTAAAAGCAAAGTATACGCTGGGTAAACGTGAGCTTCAAATTGAAGTCCTTAGGCAGGAAAAAATCAAGCAAGCATTTCTAAGATAATAAGGAGGCAGTGTAAAACCCCAAAGATTGTGAGGTTCGTATTGACCCTCAGCAGAGAGGGGGCAACTGAATGAACAAGCAAGTTACTTGGTTCCAAAGAAAACTCAAGCATTTTTCTCTTAATATCTCAACATGACACTGATTCTCCTTAAAGGGTAAGAAAAATAACATGGCAGAAAATACATATTCTGAGCTCACAGCATTGTTATGATCAATAATAACAAAGCAGTAGTAGTAATAATGACATTCTATTATAGTCCATGCTAAATTGCTACATATAAAATGTAAATCCAATATTGCAGGTGGGTTTACACATTTCTGGAAATCTGACTTACTTGGGCTGATCAAAAGTTGGGTGCCAGTTCCAAATATGAGCTTCTGATAGCCTGTGCTCACACTCTGACATAACCTTATACAAAATGGTACCCTGTAACTGAACCTTAGTCTGGGATTCCTATGTCACGCAGAGGTCAAATACCAAGCATGTTCCCACATCTGTGTGCATGTGCCAAAGTGGGAGGAGGTGTATAATTTTACTGTTTAACTTTCATTTTCCTAAGACCAGTGGAAGATGACAAGAAATAAGGCAGAACCCAATAGAAGATCCTGCTTTATATACAGTAGATTATATAAAAAATATTGTACAAAAAAGGTCATGAAAATTCAGGTTGAAAAAGTCATTCATATAATTATAGACTTTCAGTGCTAGCCAGGACCTAGGGTAATTTTATGGGCTTATCCATCCTCACTAAGTGTTCAGGACATGCTTCTTGTATTACTGATGCTCACGGATAATAATGCAACTCTATCATTGCTAACTTATCTTCTTATTTAAGAAGGTGCAGACAAGGGGCACCTGGGTTGCTCAGTCATTAGGCAGCTGCCTTCAGCTCTGGTCATGATCCCAGAGTCCTGGGATCTAGCCCACATCCCGCTCCCTACTCAGTGGGAAGCCAGCTTCTCCCTCTCCCACTCCCCCACTCCCCTTGCTTGTGTTCCTTCTCTCGCTGTCTCTCTCTCTGTCAAGTAAGTAAATAAAATCTTTAAAAATAAGTAAATAAATAGCATACAAAACCATGCACACCCCCTCAAATAAATCAATGAGAACAGATGTCCCTCAACTGTAATCCAAATCAAGATATTCCATAGAACTTACTTGCTTTAACAAATAGTCTTGTTCCTGTCCCAATTTTGAAGACTGCATTATTTCCCACAGTGATTTTTGCTATGACAAAATGGGCCATTTCCTTCTCCTTCCATTTTTATACCACAGCTTGGGAAGCAGGCCCAGGGCGCCTATGGGAAGGTGCTAATAATAAGGAACATTTTTTTATACTTCCCTAGTAAAACTCATTTGTTTTTTTTCCCGTGTTGAACATAATCTCACACCTCCTACCAGGTTCACCAAACACTAGTCACTATTCTATGAAATCCGGGGACCAGAATACCCAGGCTTTAGTCCCAGCCCTACTTTTCACTGACTTGATGATGTTGGACAATTCAACCAACCTCTCTGAGTCTTAATGTCCATATTAGAAAAATAAAGAGCTCTGAATTAGATGATGTCTAAGCTCCCTTTCAGAGCAGAAGTTCTGGGATCCAGCAATGTCCAAAGTGCCTTTAATGTTGCATTTTATATAAATCACACCTGTGTCAGGCACTTGCTGATCAGTTACACTGGTGACTGGTCTACCTGGGGAAAACACAAGATACAGTGAAACAAAGGGAGAGTCAGGACAAGGGAGGGAGTGGTGGCTGTAAGCTCCCTTGTCTTCATGAGGGTAAATTCTCCCAGTAGCCCCTGTACTTTTTGTCTCTTCATGAAAAAGGGAAGAGAATCCTTTGGACATTTAGGGCATTCAAATAAAGATCTCCCAAAGCTCCATCTCTAAGTCATGGCAGTATTTAAGAATAGAAAAGATAAATTCCATGTTTTTCCTTACTCACTGTGATTGGCATTGTCTCTCATTTCTAAGTAAGCCCTGGTACAGAATCTATGACAGAGTGCAGTAGAAAGAGGAAGGCTTTGAGATCAGAGCCTGGTTTGAATCTCGACTTTTCTACTCACTAACACTGGGATCTTGGGGATTTACTTTTCTGGGCCTCAGTTTCGTCTTCTGTAAAATAGGGACACTGCTCCTTGTTCCTTAGAATTGTTTGAGGATAAACAATACCACATGTCATGGACCTAGCACTGAATCCACACACCCTGGGAAGGTCGTTATTCTTGCTGTGTTAAGTTAGAATATTGATTAACAAGATTATTTTCTCAGGGTTATAGGAATATTTGTTTATGAAATAATCATGACAGTCTGAGCCCTTGAGTCATATAAACTCTTGGGTAGTATAGGAGTGAGGTCCCAGAAGCACAGATTTTGAATGCTTTGCCCTTCTCAGCTCACACTGGAGGAGTCTAAGGCACACAGAGGCCCAATGACTTGCTCAATGTCATGCCACCAGCTGGGGCCGAGTTAAGAACTCTAGACTGAAGCAAGCAGTCCTGGACTCCTTTCTCTGCACTTCACTGGCTCCTCTTGAACAATGTGTGGTGTAAAGGGACACAATCCCTGGAGTGAATTTGGTATAGCTTATTTGGGGGCATGGGTAAAATGACCTTGAATATCCTCTGCCCCAGTTTGTCTCTGAATCAATGGCCGCAGATGTAGAAAGGGTCTGTTAGATCAAGGCCATTCAATTTTCTGCTCTTATGGCTTTTCCCCTGAATCAAGTTCCCTTTAGTTCACTTCTGGCACTAAACACTCTGGTATTAGAGCTTCTGCCAGCCTCCTATCTCTGGGAAAAGTCTTAATCGTTGGCTAAATTCCACCATGGAGAAAATATGCTTGTATAGTCTTGGAATACTTTCACTAATTTCTCTGGGTGCTGCAATTCTTAATACATCAGCACTAGATCATAGCTCATTATAAGTAAGGCACAGATGATGCAAATGATGTCTCCTTTTCAGCTGATCACTGTCACCAGAAAACATTTTGCAGTTACCATTTACTCAGCCCCATGTTCAGCCAGGCGCCTGTCCCAAAGGCAAGTCTGTCATTTCTCCCAGTCAGTCCCACAGTGTCTGACGCCTCGCAAGAAATTCTGTCACTTCACCTCTTTTCCTGATATACCCGAATGAGTTAGAAAACACTCAAGATTTCGTATAGCTACTAAATGTATTCTTGGAGAGAAAAACACCCCCCATTCATAGACTGCTGGTGCTAGGGGGGCAAAGAGGTCATGCAGACCTGCTTCCCCATTTAAAGGAGGGAAAACTTGGGTCCAGAGGCCAGAAAATCCACTGTTCCACTGTTAGTTGGTAGCAGAGACAAAACATGGGTCTGTTGGATTCCCAATCTAGTTTTTCCTCTCTCCACCACATCCTGGATGTAGCGGCATTTACTTCATTTCTTCCTCCCTTTGGCTTGGAAACTTGGTTTCCTTGGGTGCTTGATTTCCATTAAACAAGAATTTATGAAGCACTTGCTTGGTAAAAGGACCATATTAGATGCTTCCCGGGCTAGAACAAGAGCGTCTATTCTCAAGGATCCTTCAGTTTTAATGGGAAGATCTTCTCAATAATGAAAGATTCCCTTAGCTGTATGTGTCACAGATTGTCTAAGATTTCACAGCTCAATTTGCAGTATGAAGGCTAAGAGGAATGGGAGGGATGCCTGGGGAGAAATTATAGCCAGGCTTCGAACAGGAAGCCAGGCTATTTCCAAAGATACCAGGTTTGTCCTAATCATCTAGAGTGTTTGTCTCTGCTCCATTCTGGTCTAGTGAATTGGTTCTACTGTTATTTCCAACTCTGCTGTTACCTATTTCATTTTTTTTTGGCCTATTTTCATTTTTTTAAAAAGATTTTATTTATTTATTTGACAGAGAGAGAGACAGTGAGAGAGGGAACACAAACAGGGGGAATGGGAGAAGGAGAAGCAGGCTTCCCATTAAGCAGGAAGCCTGACATGGGGCTTGATCCCAGGACACTGGGATCATGACCCAAGCCAAAGGCAGATGCTTACCAACTGAGCCACCCAGGCACCCCAGCCTATTTTCATTTTTTGTTTCCTCTGGTTATGCATCCTTTTTTAAAAAAATTAATTTTTTATTAACATATAATGTATTATTAGCCCCAGGGGTACAGGTCTGTGAATTGCCAGGTTTACACACTTCACGGCACTCACCATAGCACATACCCTCCCCCTATTTTCATTTTTAAATGTCCCCCACGAAGGCTCTGTCTTAAATTCATAGGTTGACTGATAAAACAAGGAAGATGAATCCTTAAGGGTAAAACACATGTAAGTACATGCAGAGGCCTTAAACTAGAGAAGGGGAAATAAGGGCAGGAGGGGGCCAACATTTACCTGGAGAGACTAGAAGTGTGGTCCCTTTTCCAAAGGTGAATCTGCTGTATCCTACCTCCCCACCATAGTAAACGACCATACCAAAATGGCCTATAGTGTTGGGCTTTGCAACCTCTGATCTACTTAGAGAAGGGGAAAGAAAACTATCATTTATGGAGACTCTATTACATGCCAAGGAGATTAACAACCTACATACATCACATTACCTTGTTCAGGCCACAGCTGTTCCATGGGCTCAGATATTATTATTCTTATTTTACAAATAAAGAACAGGTGATCTGAGGCTGAGCAGCTTGAACAAACACTGTACGAAAGACAGAAATCACCCAGATGCACAAGACAGGTAAATCTTGAGGAGCTACAAGAGAAGAATCCTCCTTCTTGTCCTTTAGAGTGAGATTATAGAATTAACCCATTAGGGTTAATTCTCCTGCTAGAGCCAGATGTCAGAACTTTAATAGCAGCGATCCCCCAAAACTCCAGCTCACCTTCCATGACCATTTCTTGAAACATGAAGACATTTTGTCCTCAATCCTTCCCTTATCCCTCTGATATGCTACTCACCAGGCCTGACCAGCAGTCGAGTCCCACTCCCAAAACTCCACCTATAGCCTCCATCGTTTCCACACTGTTTCCTAGTCAGCCAAAAACACCCACAAGTCCACGTACTCTTCTCTTACCCCAGACCAAGAGGTAGAGCCCTTTCACCTACAAAGAGGGCTCCATCTTCCCTTTCTTTTTATATTCCACAGACCACACAGGCCATTTGACTGAAATTTAGGCATTTATTGTGCAACACTTAAAATGAAGTCTCTATCTACCACATCTCTGCGTCTATCCCCGTCAAACTCATGATTTTCAACTTTATTTATCCAACAGATAAATCTAGTCCTCTGTTGTCTCCATTGCAGTCATCCATTTTTAGATTCCTGCCATAGTGTCTCTCCTCCTTTTAACTTCAATCATTCTGAAACTTCAGGGACTAACATCCAAATCATTATGAGTGACAGCTTCCTGTTCCCTCCAGTCGACTTGTTTTGCGGGTTCAATGGCAGCCTTGTTACTTACTCAAGTCCTATTCTGCCTGCAAAGCTGAGTGTCTCTCTGATTAAAGGACATCCTGTCTACTTCAGCTCTGGTAAAAAAACACCACTTGTCTTCTCTCTAGGTCTTATCCTTTGCGCATCTACTGTTTTCCACTGGCCTCACAAGCAATATCTTGGCTTTCTCTTCTATTGAGAAAGAACCCAACTCACACAGAACAATTTTATCAGAATTTTAAAGGAAGGCCGTGGTTATCCTTCTCCCATATCTGTATTTAAATATTCTGAAAATAGCCAGAAAAGGCCTATTCCAGCCCATCATGTACTTCGAATATTACAATCAGAAAGGAGATGACTAAGGAAAGAGAAATGCTTGATAGTTTAGACTTACTTGGGGTGACTTGGAGCTTTGTTCCAGTTCCAAAGGTAAGCTTTCGGTTACCCCCTGTATTCACTGTAATTCAGGCCTTTATAAAATCACTTCCTTTCTCCTGCCATTTATATTTGGGTAACATTTGAGTCTCTGTACTTCTGTAGAAGAGAGTTGTTTTTACCAATGCCTATGGCTACAGATCACATGAAAATGGTGATTGTACTAAGAATCTACATATGTATCCTACATATATAATTCCTTGAAAGAATTATACCAGCTGACCTAGACTTTCCTTTTTGTTCTGAAGACACATATTATTTTACACGTGTATAGCATTTAATAATTTATAGACTACTTTCAAATACATAATCTTATTTTAGTTTTAAAATTACCTAGGTGAGGGGCACCTGGGTGG